GAACCCCGACCTCCCAGAGCCCTAGTGGGAGTGGGCCGAGGGGGCAGCAGGAGGCGGGTGCTGAAGGAGGGAGTGGGGAAGAGGAAATGAGGGAGGAGAGGAGGAAACGAGTGACAGGGAACCCAGAGGAGAGAGGAGACACACCCCCACTGAGCGTCAGGGACCCCTCCCCACTGACGTGCGCCAGCTACCGCCGTGGGAACGAGAACCGAGAACGTGAGTGAACGAATGAACCAAAGCCCTCCCCGCCCCCCCCATCCGGACCCACCCCCAGTCAGACACAGGCCACAGGCATGGAGTTCAACTTCAAACCTCGCTTTAACTCGCGCCAGCCGGGCATTATAAATTAACGACTCCAGAAAGGACGAACAGCCGCCAGGGAAAGGCCGCCCCGCGCCCACTCTCCGCCGCCCCATTTTCTCCTGCCCAGTTTGTAAAACCAAACCCAGGGAGCCCCCCACAGACCATCTCCCACCCCCTCCAGGCCAGATGCTGCCCCCACCCAGCTCCCTCCACCCGTCTCTCTGGGGAAGAGGGCCTTAACGTGATCTAGAAGGGGGGGAGGGACGAACCAGGACAGACTCTAGAAACAGAGGTGCCTGAAGGAGGGGGAGTGGTGGGGGAAGTCTGGAGAAGGGAGCATACCTGAATCCAGACAACTGGTCAGAAGGTTCCGGGTTCTAGAGCACAAACCAGTAACCGGAGAACCTAGGTTCTAGAGTAGAGGACTAGGAGTGAAATGGTATCTGGGGTCTAGAGCATGGTAGAGGGAACTGGACACCTGGGTTCTAGGTCAAGAGCTCCAAGTTCTAGGGCCTGTGGAAGAGCTTGGGGTGTCCCTCTGTTCTAGCAGAGGAAGGGGACCAGGGCATGATTGGGATTCTAGAACACAGAGGTAGCGAAACAGGGTCCTAGATTCTAGAACAGGGAGGAGAGCCAGTACTTTGTTCTAGAGCACCAAGACGAGGGGGGGGGGAAACAAACCCAGATCTGGATCTTGAGGCATGGAGAGCGAATTACAACAATGATCTAGGGAGCAGAACTGCGTGATATCAAGTTCCAGAACAGAAAGGGAGAAGGACCCGGGTTCTAGAGCTGGGGAGAGGCGGGGGGAACGTGGGGCCCAGGAACGGAGAGGGAGGGGGAACTAGATGCAGGACCCAGATCTGGGTTCTAGAACAGAGGGAGGAACTAGACAGAACAGAGCCCCAGCGCACGAGTTGGTTCCCCCCAACCCCCACCCTCCCCGGGGAGTCTCCGAAGCTCCTCATTCCTGGGTGCCCAGGTCCTCTTCCTCCGGCTCTTCCTCCTCCTCCTCCCCGTCGTCCTGCACCATGAGCCCGGCCTCCTCGTCCTCATCCTCAGGCTCCTCGCCCAGGCACACCACCACCTCGGCTGGCTCGGGCGAGCGGGAGTAGAACCAGTTCAGCACCTGCTGGGCCCCCATGCCCGACTCGCGGCACAGGGCCGGCAGGTCGTCCTGGCGCAGCTGCTGCCGGGCGGCCCAGTACCGCTCCAGCGGGCCCGTGTCCGTGCGGGGCCCGGGCTCCAGGGCGGCAGTGGGGGGCACGGTGTTATCCCAGAACCACCGCAGGTGCCCATGCTTGAGGGCATAGCGGGTGTCCCCGAACCACTGGATGATCTCTGCCCGCGGCAGGCCGGTGATCCGCTCCAGCCACTGGTAATCCTCCCGCCGCGCCCACTGGCACCGCAGGAAGAATGACTTCAGCACCGCCAGCTGCTCCTTGCTCTTCCGCCGGCTCTTGCGCTGCCGCTGGGCCTCCAGGGTGCTGTGGGGGTGGCCGGGCCGGGCCCACGCCTCGGCCCCATTGACAGCAGCTCCAGAGGAGGGCGGCGCGGCGTCGGCTGCCCCCAACCGGCACGGTTTGCTGAGGTCCCAGGCGGTGTCCGGGTGGCTGGCGCCAGCCGGAGGATCCGCCCAGGCCCGACACGGAGGGGGCGGCGTGGGGAAAAGGCTGGGGGGCGGCGTCAGCGTCTCTTTGGCTTTGGGGTGGGGGGCCGCGGAAGCTCTCCCCAGCTCTGGGGGCCCCCGGGCCGCAGCCGAACAGCTCCCTGGGGATTCCTGGGGCTTGGCTTTGTGGTGTGTGGCCGCGGGGGCTTCCCTGCCTCCCGGGGCCTTACCAGTTTGCGTCAGGGGGTCGCCGGGGGCCAGCAGGGCCCCGAAGGCTGGGCGGTCCTGGCGGCAGGCCAGCCGCGCCCGCGTCTCCTCAATCTCCTCGGCGCTCCAGCTGATGCCGCAGCGCAGCCGCTGGGCCATGAACCAGGCCTTGACCTTCTCCAATTGCAGGCCGTGGCGCAGGCAAAGCAGTGCCAGGTCGGCCAGGCTGGGGTAGGGGAAGTAGCTGAAGGCCTGGCGCAGCGGTTGGTGGCCGTCCAGCTCGCTGGTCTGGGACGCCTGGGTCCACACCAGCTGCAGGTCCTCCGAGATGGGCGGCAGGCAGATGAGGGCCGCCGGCGAGCTGGGGTTGCCTGGCGACTCCTTGTTGGGGGGCATGGCTGGCCCCGCCACCGAGGGGTCCTTGGCCTGGGGCTCCCGGGCTGGCCAGCCCACGGGGACAGCTGTGGGGAGAGCGAGAGCGAGACCCAATCAGCAGGAGATAGCGAGGAGGGCGGTGTGGGGTGCGGTGCCCCAGAGCTCTATGGGAAGCCAAGCAGTTTCCTCCTCCCTCCTCTCCCACCCCCAGGGGTGTTTGGGGGTGATTGCTACCCCCCACCCAGACAGCAACGGGGAGCAAAGGCTCTTACCTGCGGTAAGGGGGTCTGAACCCCAAATCGTCAGCCCCACGTCCCCCCGGGGAGCCTGAGACCTGGGAAGAGAGACACAGACAGGTGAAAGTGACGGGGATAGAACCCAGGAGTCCTGGCTCCCAGCCCCGCCTTCCCTAACCTACTAGACCCTGCTACCCTCCCACTGCTGGGATAGAACCCAGGAGTCCTGGCCCCCAGCCCCGCCTTCCCTAACCTACTAGACCCTGCTACCCTCCCACAGCTGGGATAGAACCCAGGAGTCCTGGCTCCCAGCCCCCACCAGGCAGGAAACACACAGCACAGTTCTTGCCTCAAGAACTCAGAAACATTCAAATAATCAAATGAAATACATATCCAGGAATTCATTTCCACCATATTTCAGGGGACTCAGGGACCAGCTCCTACCTTCCTTAGCTAGTGAGGGACAATTATGTCTTTGGGTGTCGTTAGTTAGGGAGGTAGCCAAACGGTCCTGGAAATAAGTTTTCTGGGGCAGCACCGGTGCTTGTTGTGTGTCTGTGACCAGGCCGCAGAGACACTAGGATAAGACGCACAGTAATTACTAAGAATGCAATTCGGTTTAATGCGTAATTACTGCTAACAAATAATCGAACCCCGATTGCATTACTTGGGATTAGCTTCTAGAAACGATTGCTCCGTGACGAACTTACTGGCTAACAAAGAAATAGTCAAACCATTATAAAAATAATTAGCTTGTGGAAAGGATTGCTTGGTTATTGACCGGCTAATTAAATAATTGACCAGTAAGTACTAATTAGTCGCTAATACCACAAAATATTTGCCCAGTGATTTGGAAACTAGAGGGTCGTGCATTTCTTCGCATATGGAGGCCAGGCGTTATCCAACCCCAAGCCAGCTGCTTGTCTGTCTTTCCGGAATGCCGCAGCCGATCCACTCCAGGGAGGCTCTAGGCAGCAGTGACTGGAACAACCCTACCGAAAATCGGCACGGCCGTTGGCACTGCAAAGTTGGCTAATGAGCCCTGGGCTTCGCCGGCCCCTCGAGTTAAGTGCAAATGGCTTATTGCCCGTGCTGCTTCCGAGAGCCCGCGGCTCCGACCGCTCCTAGAAATCGCTCCCAACGTCCCCGGCCTCCGCTGCACCCTATTGCCGTGCGATAAAGTCCAGACGGATCCGCATGGGCAACCTCTTCCTGATCACATCTGGCTGCTTGCCACTGTAAGTGAGTAATGGGCCAGGTTCCCATGGAACAGCCATTTAAGCAATGTTCTCCCTGTGACGCCAATCTATCGGCGCCGTCGGCCGACGCTTCTCATGGTGGAGCTTCGTTTCCTTGGCGCAGGCAATGGCATGACGCTCTTGATCTTCCAGGAGATGCCGCTGGCTTTGTAGCATCGTTTCCATTCTGCAGGCAACAGCCTGGCGCTGGTGGGCCCCCTGCAGCTGCCACTGGCATTGGAGAGGCGTCTCCATGGCGCGCTCTCTGTGCTACCAACTGACGGGCGCATTTGGCCAGCGTCTCCAAGGCACAGGTAGTGGCGTGGCAACAACAGTCCCCCTGCAGCCACCGTTGGAGAGCTGTCTCCATGGCATGAACTAGCCTCTGGTGCTCTCCCTGTGACACCAGGCGCTGGCTTCCACCACCTGGGTAACAGCATGCAGCGCATCCTTGGGCTGCAGACGCCATTGATGGCACATGGTTTGACCCTTTGCTTTGGTTGCTGCTGGTCGCTTGTTGGTCCTGGGCAGGATAGACAGTGAACCGTAAAATTCAAAATCAGATCTTAGCACTCCTACCTAGGGGCTTCCTCAGCTCAGCCAATGCCCAGAGGACGGAGCGTTGGAGAACCCCATTTTTTAGAAGAACGTTGTCCATTCTTCCACCTTCTCCAATGGCGTCTACATCCCAATACCCAGTGCTGAAGGGCTCTGTAATCTAGCGGAAAAAGGCAGAACCCAAACCAACGGCTGAACGCAGCAGGCAGCCAAATTCCGATTGGAAAGACAGCCCCAATTCCAGAAGAAAACCATTGGCCCAAACAGCCAAGGGAAGTGGCATCTCCATATCTTGAGCTCTTCAAATCCAGACTGGAAAATACGCTCTAGTCCAATGCATGTTATTAAGGCTAAATACAGGGACACTGGGTAAACTGAATGGCTTGTGATCCAAACTACATGATCTAACGTGTCGACTGGCTGTCACCTCTACGAATCCTCGTTAGTTCGGTTCCAGCCCACAGTCTTTGAGGTTTATCAACCAATCCTTATTGTGCATGAGCGGAAGAGCAACGCGGCCACGGGAACTAGAACTGTGAATGCCGGAGCTCTGTGAGGCATATTTGCGTAAGGTACAACACGGCAGTATCGGAGCACACGAACTATTAGCCTATGTACCTTTAGAGCTCTAAGTACAGATGCCCCCCGGGTTACGCAAACCTGACTTACGCAAATCCGCAATTACGGAAAAAGTTCCGTATGCTAGAAACAGGAGGGTGTGTAGGTGTGTGTGTGTGTGTGTGTGTGTATATATAATGGTCAGGTATACGTTTCCAATTTACGCAAAATTCGAGTTACGCAAGGCCTTCTGGAACAGAACGCTTGTGTAAGTCGGGGAGCGTCAGTAGAAGAGCTGTTGCTGGTTTTCTAATTTTTAGCAATATTAATGGTCATAAATCACTTTTCCCTAAAACTGTCGGCTCGCTCTGGGGTCTCAGACTTTGTACCCGGTGTTGGCTGGGCGCTGGGCAGGTTGTCAGTGTGAGGGGATTTGTTGGGTCTCCAGGTTTCACCCCAACAGATGGGGTCCTTTCCACCAACGCCCACCATGTTTCCGAACATTTTGGACTCGGTTGGATGCAGCATTCAAAGGTCATCGCGTTACAGACAAATGGAGAAATGTCACCGATTGGAGGGGTGGGCCTGACTATGCTTGGTAAATTAGACCCCACTCCCCTCCCAGAGGCAAGGATAGAACCCAGGAGTCCTGGCTCCCAGCTCCGCTGCTCTAACCACTAAACCCCACTCCCCTCCCAGGGCCACGGATAGAACCCAGGAGTCCTGGCTCCTAACGTACAGCAACAGTTCTTGTCCCCCAAGGAACAGAGAGAGCTCATTAAAGTAAACCAATCAATCTAATTAAAGTAACTAAGCACTGATACGTTTCAATCATATTGACGGGAACTAGACTAGATGGGGTTGGTCTAGATGACCTCCTGAGGTCCCTTCCAACCCTGATATTCTATGAACAACCGCCCAGACCTACATTAACGAGATCACTGGGGCCAACCTGGTCTTTCCGTTGCTCACCGAGCTGGACTGAGAACTCACCAGGCCTGAAATTAGCCCCTATTCGTTACCGCTCCGCTATTAATTGACGGGCCCCTCGTTACGGAAATAACTGACAAGTGATTAGCAATTACCGGGTCATCGGCCAAACAACGCCCAACAAACATGAAGAACCAGGAATTAGACTCAATCGGGGGGTGACCAGACCATGTCCTGACCGCAGGGCCTTGGTCTTATAGGTGCCCCCCCACCCCTGCCCCCATGAAAGAGCGTCCTGATTGGTCACCCGAAATCCAGCAAGTCCCTGGTGGCTACTGGCCAATCAGCCTCATCATCAGCGACTAATTAGCAGGGAACTGACCAGAAATTCCACCATGTGGTAATTATGTAAAATAAGCGAATCCAGCTTCCTAATACGCTAAAGACCCCACCCCCCCCCCCCCGCGACCCCCCAGCTCCAACCCCACCCCCCCCCCCGCCCCCAGAGACCCCCCAGCTCCAACCCCACCTTCTCCCCAGCTCCCAGAGACCCCCCCACCCCCGCCCCGTCCCCAGGGACACCCCCTCCCCAGTGGCCCCCAAGCCCCAGATACCTCCCCAAATGCCCAACTTCTCCCCAGTCCCTCCCCCACAGACTCCTCATTGACCCCACTCCAGCTCCTCCAAACCCCAGCTCCCCCAGAGACCCCCACACCAGCTCCTCCCCTAGACCCCCCAGCTCCAACCCCCACCTTCTCCCCCAGAGACCCTCCAGCTCCCCAACCCCACAGAGACTCCCCATCCTCTCCCCCAGTGACCCCCCACAGCCAGTTTCCTTACCAATTCCCAGCTCCCTCCAACCCCCCTCAGGACCCTTCTAGCCCCCTACACCCTCCGAGACCCCCATCCCCACTCCGTTCTAGCCCTGCTCTGTGAGAGGGGCAGGGTCTGGTGGCTTACAGCGGGGAAGGGGCTGGGATCCAGGACGCCTGGGTTCTCTCCCTGGCTCTGAGAGGACGTATGTGGGGGAGGCTAAGACCTAGGACGCCTGGGTTCTCTTCCTGGCTCAGAGGACGGGGTCCAGTAGGTTAGAGCACAGGTGGAGGTGGGGGGACTAGGAGCCAGGACTCCTGGGTTCTCTGAGACACCGACCCTTGTCTCAGCCTCTCCTCCTGGGATCCCCCAACCCCCAGAGACCCCCATATTCCCCCTCCTCTTTCTCTCTGGGGTTCCCCCCAAGCTGCCCCTCTGCCCCCCCCCCTCCAGCTGCCCCCAAGACCCCCCAGCCACTCCCCCCACTCACACGTTCCCTCCTCCTCCGATTTTAGTTTCCTCCCAAGTTTTGGGACTTTGCTCCACTTGCATCCTGGGTAATGGAGGCTCAGGGGGCGGGGCTTCCCCTGCACTGGCCCTTTAAGGGCGCCTAGGACACCTGGGTTCTCTCCAGGGAGGGGGAGGGGCTGGGAGCCCGGACGCCTGCGTTCTTTCCCAGGCCCTGGGAGGGGAGTGGGGTCTGGTGGTTAGAGCAGGAAGCCCCGACGCCTGGGTTCTCTCCCGGGAGGGGGCAGGGAGCTCGGACGCCTGGGTTCTCTCTGGGAGAGGGCAGGGAGCCCGCACACAAAGGGGGGAGGGGCGGCCGAACTCACCCTCCCTGCGGTGCTACCGGGGCCGGGCCGGCACCAGCCCGATCCCTGCCCGGCTCGGCCTGGCCCCCTCCGGGATGGGATTGGAGGCCGCGGCCTGCGGGGGAGGGACCGGCCCGGCCATTGGCTGCCACAGAGCCCAGCCCGGAAACCGGCCACCAGCCGGACGCCTGGGTTCCCTCCTGGCTAGGGGGGCCGGGAGCCGGGACTCCTGGGTTCTCTCAGACCCAGACCCTCGGCTCAGTCGGCAGAGAAACCGGCTGCTTCTCCCCGCCCCCTGCGGGCTGCCTGGGGGAAACCGGCCCACGATAGAGCCGGGATCACCCTGGGGCTGGGGGGCAGGAGTGAGGGGCACGGGCAGAGCTGGGTGGGGGGCAGGGCTGGGCTAGCAGGGGGCTGCGGGGTGGGAGTGAGCGGCACTGGCCGGGCGGGGGGGGCGGAGCTGGGCTAGCAGGGGGCTGCGGGGCGGGAGTGAGCGGCACTGGCCGGGCTGGGGCGGGGCTGGCAGGGGCTGCAAGCCAGGAGTGGGGAGCACCGGCAGGGTGGGGGGGGCAGGGGACTGGTCCGAGAGGGGGGTTAGGTGCCAAGATGTGGGCAGCCCTGGTGTCCGGGCAAATGTGCCATGGAGAACGGTGGCACCTTCCCTGCCCCCTCCGAGCTGCTGTCCTGGGGGAAACCTGCACACAACAGCCAGCCTGGTACCGCCCCCCTCCCCCGGGCCCAGCCAGACTGGTAATCCCACCCCCCCCCCGATCAGCCCCCCGGGCGCAGCCAGCCCGGTACCGCCCCCCCGATCAGTCCAGTAACACCCCCCCCAGATCAGCCCCCCGGGCCCAGCCAGCCTGGTACCGCCCCCTCCCCCAATCAGCCCCCCAGGCCCAGCCAGCCTGGTACCGCCCCCTCCCCACCATTGTCGGGTGACTTTGCCCAGTCCTGGCTTGGGGCGGGTCAAGCCTGGCACTGTCCACCAGCAGGCAGTTCCACTGGTTAACGACCTCCCAATGTCCCCCCCCCATGCAGCCAGACCCTCCACTCGAGCTGGGGGCAGGGCCTGGAGGGTTTTGGTGTCCCCTATAAGGCAATGGCTCCCCCGGCCATGTCCTGGGTGGGGGTGCAGGTCCCACAGGGCTAGGGGTGGTGCCTGATGTGGGGGGCGTGTCTTTGGTTTGTCTGAGCTCTGCCCCCATCCTAGCCCTACCCTCCCCTGGACCCCACCATCCTGGAAGACCTGTCTCCCCCACCCCCCTGTATCTCACCCCCTATTCCTGCCCCACATCCCATGGCTTTGGGGTGAATTTCAGCCCCCCCCCCAGAGGATGTGGATCTGGGGGCTGGGAGGAGCTGGTTGTCCCCCCCCCCATGAAGTCTGTCCCCCCTGGGAAGCCAGTTGTGCAGCCCCCTACAGGAAGTGGATCCAGCCCCCATCTCCGTCGCGTGCGGGACTGGGGGGCCCCTCGGCCCGCCCCCCGCCCCGCAGGATGTAGTTCTGCCCCCCGTTGTTGTCCCACAGCTCCTGGCCCCCCACGTGGCAGCGCAGGGCGAACTCCAGGGCGCCCCCAGGGGGCAGGGGCAGGCGGAAAGCGAAGCGGTCGGAGGGGGGGCCGGGCGGGGGGCCGGCGGAGGGCCCGGCGTAGGCGGCGGGGGCCTCCCGGTAGCTAGCCCAGCCGTCCCAGGTGTAGCGGACGCTGACCCGCTTCTCGTAGGCCAGGTTGAGAACCCGCAGGGTCCCCGCCACCCCCAGCCCCCCAGCCCGCACCCCCTCCAGGCACACGCCCTGCGCCCCCAGCCGCGCCCCGAAGTCCGGCAGCCCCAGCGGGTCCCAGAAACACGGCGCCAGCGGCAGGCGCCCGGCCAGCGGGTCCTGGGAGTCCTGGAGAAAACGGGCAGGAGGGGATGGAGAGAAAGAAAGAAAATTAATGTCACTTGGAGCCCGGTGACCCTGCTGGGGGGGGGCAGAGCTGGGGACCTGCCCCCCCCAGCCCTCATCCCCCTCCCCTGCCTGCCCCTGCCCTCCATCGCTCCCCCCGTTACCTGGAAGGGCTGCAGGGGGGCGAAGTGGCGCAGGGCGTCACGCCGGAGCTGGGTGTGGACGCGCTCGGGGACCTGGGGCAGCTCGGCCGGCCAGTAGCGCCTCACGCTGGCCAGCTCCAGCCCCAGGGCGTCAGCGAAGCGCACCCGCTTGCGGGAGCCGGGGCTGCGGCTGCGGGATCCCCCACCAGGGCCCCCGGCCGGGGCAGAGCGGGCCCTGCGACGCCGGTGCCCCCCCCTGCTGCCCGTGCGGCCCTGGCGCCCCCGCGGCCGGGCCCCCCGGGCCCGCCCCTCGGCCTCCGAGTCGGAGTCGTCGCCCAGGCTGGGCCGGACCGTGCGGTAGTACGCCCGCTCGTACAGCCCCGCGATGTAGCTCAGGTTGCGCGGGATGTCGCTGGGGGGTGGGGGAGCGTGTGCCATGGGGCCCGGGGTGGGGCCAGCTCGCTCTGTCCGGGCCCCGGCTCGTTCTATTGCTCCGCCTGGGCACCGGCTCCTTCTGTCGCTCCGTCCAGGCCCCGCCTCGTTCTATCGCTCCGCCCGGGCCCTATGTTCTTCTGTCGCTCCGTCCAGGCCCCGCCTCGTTCTGTCGCTCTGTCAAGGTGCCGGCTCGTTCTGTCGCTCCGTCCGGGCCTCGCCTCGTTCTATTGCTCCGTCCAGGCACCAGCTCGTTCTGTCGCTCTGTCAAGGTGCCGGCTCGTTCTATCGCTCTGTCTGGGAACCAGCTCATTCTATTGCCACATCCGGGAGCTGTATCCTTCTGTCGCTCCGTCCAGGCCTCATTCTGTCCCTCCGTCCAGGCTCGTGTCCTGTCACCCTGTCCAGGCCTCCTCCTATCGCTCTTTCTGGGCTCTGGCTCGCTCTATCGCTTTCTCTGGGTTTTGAGTCCTTCTAGCTCTCTGTCCATTCTACTGCTCCAACAAAGTGCTCCCTTTTTCTATCACTCCTTCTGGGCTGTGTCTCGTTCTATCGCTCCATCACGCCGCCAACTCATTCTACCACTTCATCGCTGCCTTCCATGTTCTTCTCTTCTAGAGGGTCCAAGTCTATTTCTCTGTCTGGACCCTGACTCGTTCTGTTGCTCTGTCGCTATCTTCACGTTCTTCCCTCTCAGAAATTCTCCTTCATTCTCTCCATCTGGGCTGCGTCTCGTTCTATTACCCTGGCAGGGCACTGGCTTATTCTACTCCTTCCTCACCCCCTTCCAGGTTCCTCCCTTCCAGAGTTTCCGAGACTACGTCTGTCTGGACTCTGCCTCCTTCTCTCTCTCTGTCGTTGCCGCCTTGTTCCTTTTTTCTGGAGAGTCTCAATTTATCACTGCAGCCAGCTGCTGGTTTGTTCTCTCCGTCACTCTTCCCTTTCAGAGATTCTGAGTGTCTCCCTCTGTCCAGGCTCTGATTTGTTCTGTCGCTCCTGCACTGTCTCCTTCTCTCTCGTTCTCTTCCTCCGGCCGGGCTCTGTCTCGCTCGGTCACTGCCTCCTTCGATCTCTCCGCTGTTCGTTCTCTCTCCTTGCGATCCGTCTTTCTATTGCTCCGGCTGGGCGCTGTCTGGTTCTGTCACTCTGAGGGGGCTTCACCCTGGCTCTCTCTCCGTCTCTTTCACCTTCTTTCCTCCAGCAGATGCCCCTCCTCCCTCCCTCTCTCTTCTTCTTTTACTATCCCTCCATCCCTCCTGGTCCAGCATGCAAAATCTGACTTGGCAATTACTGTAATGCTCAGAAACGGCGCATCGCCTCCAAGCAATCTCCCCTCCTTCCAATGCTCAGGGCTCCCCATTCCCTCCCACCCCCTGTCCACCAGCCGGGAGGTGGGGGTGGGGTAATCACTCCTTCCAGACCGTATGGAGTTAACCTGGCAGGAACCCAGGCGTCCGGGAGTCTAGGCCCAGCTGGGGACACCATGTACCTGAGAGGTGAAGGGCCTAAAATGTTCCAATCTGAGATCAATAATTCATGAGACAAGATGCAGCTAATGGATCCCGGGAAGCCGGCCAGGGAATAGGAGTGGTGGGGGACTGAGGGGAGGCAGAGTTGCAGGGGGCAGGGCCGGGCTAGCAGGGGCTGCGGGTTGGGAGTGAG